GACTTCTCAAATGCCTTTAGGGCTTTTTCCTCATTGTCCTGGTTATTAGTATCTGGCTGCCTCACTATCAAGCTGTCTTTAGTAACCAGTTTATCTGCTTCATCCTCGCATTTTTCTCTGGCTCTCTACTTCTCTACCACATGGCCAGGCAGCAAATTTTCAAATCTTTATGCTCTACTTCCCTTTTAAATTCTGGCTTTCCATCATGCCTTTGTCATCATAACTCAAAGTAGGCTGTTTAAAGTAACCATGCACCTTCCTCAATGCTTTGCTGCTTGGAAATTTCTTTTGCCAAACATTCCAATTCACAACTCTTAAGTCCCACCTTCCACAAAATCCAAGGGCATGGACACAATGCTGCCAAATTCCTTGCTATGGTGTAGCAAGGGTTATCTTTTGTCCAATTCCCAATAAGTTCCTCACTTCTATCTGCGCCCTCATCATCTGCATGGCCTTTACTGTCCACATTTCTACCAGCATTCTTGTCACAACAATTTAACCAATCTCTAAAATGTTCCAAACTTTCCCTCATCTTTTTGTCTTCTTCTTAGTCCTCCAAACTCCTCCAACCTTTGCCTAACACCCAGTTCCAAAGCTGTATCCACATTTTCAGGTATCTGTATAGCAACACCTCACTCCTGGTACCAATTTTCTGTATTAGTCTGTTTTGTGCTGCTATAACAGAATACCTGAGACTGGGTAATTTATAAAAAATGGAGGTGTATTTGGCTTATGATCCTGGGACAGCTGCATCTGGCATGGGCTTCAGGATGCTTCTGTTCATAGTGGAAAGCAGCAGGCATCCAGTGGGTACAAGCAGATCATATGGTGAGAGGAAGCAAGAGAGAGAGAGAGAGGAGGTGCCAGAGTCTTCTAAACAACCAGCTCTTGTGGGAACTAATAGAGTGAGAACTCACTCATTACTCCTCCCACCTAGGGAGAGCACTAATCCATTCATGAGGGATCTGCTCCCATGACTCAAACAGCTTCCAGCACTGCCACATTGGGGATCAGATTTCCATATGAGTTTTGGTTGGGACAACATATCCAAACTCCATCAGGTCCCATCTGTGAAATTCAAAGCAAGTTATCTACTTCCAAGATACAATGGTGGGACAAACACAGGGTACATATTCCACATTCCAAAAGGGAGAAATAGGCTAAAAGAAAGGGGTAACAAGACCTAAGCAAGTTTGAAACCCAGCAGGGCAGGCATTAAATCTCAGTGCTGGTGAATCAGGTACCTGGACTCTATGTTCAACCTCCTCTGCATGCTGATGTGAAGGTCAGGTCCCCAAGTCCTTGGGCAACTCTGCTCCTATGGCTTTCCTGATTGTAGGCCACACTTCAGCTCTCCCAGGCTGGTGTTCCATGCTGGTAGCTCCACAGATCTGGGGTCTCCATGGCGGTCCTGCTCTCACAGCTCTATTAGACATGGTGCTGATGGGGTTTCTCTGCTGCAACTTCAATCCCATGTTTCCACTCAGCATTGCTCTAGCGAAGGTTGTCTGTGGTGACTCCACCCCTGCAACAAATCTCTTCCTGGGTCCCCAGGCTTTTCCATACATCTATTGAAATCAGGATGGAGGCTCCCAAGCCTCCACAGCTCTGGCATTCTGCGAGCCTGAAGACTTAACACCACTTGGACACTGCCAGGGCTTCTGGCTTGTATTTTCCAAAGCTGTGGGTCCAGCCACACCTGGAGCCAATTTAGCCATAGGTGGAGCAACCAAAACAGTGCTGGTGTGGGGAGCAGCTTCCCAAGATGGCCCTGGGCAGCAAGCCCGTGGAGGGCAACTCAGACCTGTTTCCCAAGACCATTTTGTCTCCCTAGGTCTTTGGGCCTGAAATGGAAGGGTTGGCTCCAGAGGCTTCTGCAACACCTTCAGGTCCTTTTTCTCCTTCTCTTGATAATCCTTTTCTTTGCACTAATCTCCTTAGCTAATGGTCACTGGCCTGCTCTCTGCTTCTCTACCACATGGCCAGGCCGCAAATTTTCTAAATCTTTACACTGCTTCCCTTTTAAATTCTGGCTTTATGTCATGCCTTTGCCACCACAACTCAGCACAGGCTGTTACAAGTAGCCATGCAGCTTCCTTAATGCTTTGCCGCTTAGAAATTTTTTCTGCCAAGTACTCTGGTTCGCAGCTCCTAAGTTCCAACTTCCACCAAGTCCTAGGGCATGGACAGAATGCAGCCAAATTCCTTGCTAGTTCACAGCAAGGGTGACCTGTGTCCCAGTTTCCAATAAACTCCTTCTTATTTGTATCTGAGACCCCCTTAGAGTGGTCTTTACAGTCCATATTTCTATCAGCATTCTGCTCGCCACCACTTAATCAGTCTCTAAGACACTCTGAACTTTCCCTCGTCTTTTTGTGTTCTTGTAAGTCCTCCAAACTCCTCCAACCTTTGCCTAACACCCACTTCCAAAGCCGCTTCCACCCTTTCCAGTATTTGTTATAAGCAACACCCCAACTCACTGGTACCAATTTTCTGTATTAGTCTGTTTGTGTTATTCATAACAAAATGCTCAGAACTGGGTAATTTATAAAGAAAATGAAAAGTATTGCTTACAGTTTCTGAGGCTGGAAAGTTCAAAGTCCATCTGGTGGTGGCAACAGTGACCCAGGGGTCTCACATTGTGAGATGGTAAAAGCAGAGAGAGCAGAGAGCCAGAGAGAGACAGACTCTCTTCTTTTAAAGCCCTCAGAACCACGCCCCTGACCACCATTTTTAATCCATTCACTACCGCATGGTCCTATAATCCAATCACCTCTTGAAAGTTTCACCTTTCAATTACCATAATAGGATTTCCCACCTTTTTAACAGTCACAGTTGAGGTTAAGTTTCTAATACATGGAACTTAGGGGACACAATTCAAGCTTCAGCGAGTTTGGAGGGACATAATTCAATACACTACATTGTTCTTTCATACTTAGTTGTTCACTGCTCCAGAATTTACAGATCAGGAAGTCTATAACAGCAAACAAGGTTCAGGCACCAGTTCTTCACTTCCAGCTGTGTGACCTCATCTCTCAGTGTTTCCATCTCCTCATCCACTAAATGAGGGTTCAGAAATATGAAGTCTGTAATTGTAATTTGAAATGTCTAAGAGAATATCACCAATTGCTTAGACATTCAGGATGACTCCATTTGGTAGCCTTAAATCATGAAGGAACCAGTGAAAGGGATTGTTCTTCAAAAATTACTAACTTTATAGAAAACTAACAATATTTGTAAATTAAATTTAAAGTCTTAAGAAAACTAGGCTTTAACATTTACAACTGAAATAAATTGAGTAGCAATTGCAAAGCAAGTATGTATTCTTTTTTTTCTTTTTTTTTTTTTTTAAAAAAGACCCGGAAAAGGGTTTTTAACCTTTAATTTGGGTTTTCCGCCCCCCCCCCCCCCCGGGGGGCCCGGGGGCCGGCCCGAAAGCAAGTATGTATTCTTTTCCATATTCAAAAGTCTCTCCCCTCACCCTTAGACACACTATACATCTCAAAGGACAGTGATAATAAACTGGAAGCCTTTTCCAAAACATCCAATGATTTTAACCCAATTGGTCCTGACACAGAACGGAGGAGCAGATCATTCTGGGTCATCTTTTTGGCCACTCATTCTTTTGCAGGCAGTTCTCCAGAATTATGTTGCTCTGTTGGCATTTTGGTTTCCTCATTTCCCAAATGCATATTCCTAAGAATACCAACATGTAACTGAGACCTGCCTTTTACCTGGGAGACTTGCCCCCATAAGCCAAGGTGATATGATATAAATAGCAATAAAATGACGACGTGAGCATTTGGTGATGGTTGAGCCATCTCTCCTGATGCTACACAGACCCTGGAACAATGACTTTCTCAAGTTTAATCAAAGGAAACCAGTGTCTGTTAAAGAAAGAGATACTGGAGTATTTTTAGACTAGTTAGATAATAGCCATTAGTATATTAAACCTGGAGATAATTTTGTGTTTCAAATGAGGTTTTTAAATGAAAATATTCAAGTAGATGGTTGCTTAATATTTTACATATCAGTTATATATAATCACTCCTGTAAATCACTTCACAAACCACATCCATGATCTAATAATGTATATATGTGCTATATAACTCCAAGACCAAATAGAAAATCACATACAGACTTGATTTCTTATATATGGTTGGATTCTTCCTGTCCAAGTGAGAAAGTTACAGAGTAAGAAATAACTGAGTAGACCTTTCCAGTGATGTACTGGCTTTGCAAGTGAAGAGACTATAATAGCCTCCATAGAAACAGGCCTGAAAAGAGAAAAAAACAACGTTGTCATATATAATAGGATTAGAAACTCTATCTGAAAAGAACACTGTAACCTTCAAAATTTTTTATCTGAGTATACTCCTGTGAGGGGCAAAATAAGAGTCCTTTTCCCTGCTAGATGGTACCCTGTAGGTCCTCAAATGGTTATTATCCTGTAGGACAGGAAGTGAGGGACCCCAGCAGTCTTAAGGAGTGGAGTCACGTGTATCAATTTGTTGTTCAAGCAGCCCATTGCCCCCAAGGCTGTGGCGAAACAGGCAATCTCGCTCATGGCTAGTGAGAGGAAACAGCCTGTAGAATCTGCAGCCGGGTGATTTACCTATTTCTATAAAATTATAATCGTCTCTTCAGCTAAACCAATCAAGAAAAAAATAACAATCGTATATAAACCTTGACCCAGGAAATATCACTTCTGGGAATTAACCCCACAGATATAAGTGCAAAAGTGCAAAATGACAATTGCTACATGCTTATTAACTGCAGCATTGATTGCAACAAGATGTTCTGGAAATAGACGGTGGTGATGGTTGCAGAAGAATGCAACAGAAAATGGTAAATTTTATGCGTATTTTATCAAAATTAAAAGAAACTAATTTTGTTACCAAATAAAGGATAGATAAACCAAAAAACGAGGTCATACCCACAAAAGACCCAAACGAATATTGCACACATGAAGTTTTGAACGAGTCGGTCGTTTAGTCGGTATGAGCAATCTTCGTAAATTTGAGGGTCAAAACAACTGCGTGCCCAAAGCGGGAGGTAGCGCCTAAACCCCTGAGATGAAGAGTCTCACGCCCTAACGACTGAGCTAGCCGGACATACCCGGTGGAGAGGATCAACAATTACACCTTCAAGACTAGATTCGGGGGGTGTTCAGGGACGGGTCTGAGGCTGGACTGGCTGGGGGTGTGGAAGAACCACTGAAGTGCTTTGGCGGTCCGGGAAATTCAAACTCGGCCGTGGGTGCCTGACAGCCCCTGCCACTCGCTTCCGTTCTGTGCTTGCTCTACCCTACCGACCACCCAGCCTTTTTCCGTCCGCAGTGAAGCGCACGGCACGGAGGTAATGGAACGGAAAAGGAAAAACGTGTACATTCTGATAACAGCGGAGCGTTCACCCTCTGGATTTTCAGTCAGGAGAGAAAGGCAGTTCCCGAGGCTCGGATGAGGGCGTGTCTCCAACCTGCGCAGATTAGACTCCGCCCTCTCGAATTTTCCCTAGCGCTCTGTAAATACCAGAGTATTTTGACACTTGGAAACAGCGGAGCGTTCACCCTCTGGATTTTCAGTCAGGAGAGAAAGGCAGTTCCCGAGGCTCGGACGAGGGCGTGTCTCCAACCTGCGCAGATTAGACTCCGCCCTCTCGAATTTTCCCTAGCGCTCTGTAAGTACCAGAGTATTTTGACACTTGGAAATAAAGCAAAAGGAAACGGCAGAAAAAAAAGAAAAAAAAAAGAAAAAGTACAAAAACAGGACGCCTTGCCTCCTTGGAGATGCCGGGGATCGAACCCGGGACCTCATACATGCAAAGCATGCGCTCTACCACTGAGCTACATCCCCACTTCCAGGTTTTGGCCCTTGCTCTCTTAGTAGTTTCTTGAAGTAGGGTGCAGGGAAATCGCAACCGGCGAGAATAACATCACAGCAGCTGCGAACCCCCCATTTGCAATGCGGGGAGCTACTCCGGGGCCCTCAGCGGACTCCAGATAAGCGGATCTTGACCAACGGGCATCCAGAGGGAGGACAGGGCATGGAAAAGTACCTGGGAACAGCGGTGAGAAAAGGAGAGGGAATCACCAGGCACGATGCCCAAAATGAACCGTGAACCGCAAAACAGAAGTAAGGAAGACTGAGTGCAGGATGCTACCTTTTGTTTTTAAAAGGCGGACTTTTTTTTTTTTTTAAATTTTTTTATTTAAGTATTGATTATACATAATTTTTGGGTAAAAGGGGGAAGTTCAGATAGTAAAATACTGAATATTTAAATAAAAGAATCCAGAATTGTAAAGCTGATAGCTTGGGACGGAGAAAAAAACTAGGGAATAGGTGAAGGGCGGGCTTTCCACTGTGAACTGCTCTGCATTTTCTGAATTTCTAACTACGCTTAAATCTGTTTAGTCCCGCTGGAAGCCCCCTGGTCTCCCCTGCCGGAATGAGGTGGGTGCCATGGGCCTCAACCATGCCCCCTCCTTCCTCCTCTTCCCACCCTATTTCCTTCCCCCTTTCCCTCTCCCCCTACCCCCCAATTGCTCCACAACATCTTAGAATGTAAAAAAAAAATAATATTAATAAACAAACTTTAAAAAATAAAAAGATAAAATAGTAATAATTAAATAAATCTGTTCAGTCCAAAAAAAGCTTACTGACTGTGCCAACACTGCTCTAGAAACTGGAAGTTCAGCCGTAAACAAACCTAACACCATCCATCCCCTCTTAGAGATCGCATTCCAGAGAAGACAGAGTGCTAGAGAGAAAACAGAGCTAGCGACGAGGGACAGAATGTGGTAAGAGGAGACTTTAAGTGTGTGACTGGTCTGAGCAGTCTTCATTGACAAGACTTGATGGAGGTGGGGAGTGAGCCTCGCAAGTAACCCGGAGAAAAGAGGTCCAGACAAAGGCAACGGTCAGCGCAAAGGCCACGAGATATGTCTTTCTGACATGTTGTAGGAATAACAAGGAGGCCCGTGTGGCTGGAATGAAGTCAACCCTGGAGAGTGGTGGGAGACGAGGAAAGAGACCCGTGCACGTTGGAGATGGGGACAAAGAACGCGTAGGGCTACCGGAAGGACTTCGACTTTTACTCCGAGACAGGTGGTAGCTGCTGGAGGATTTTGAGCAGAGCAGGGCTGAGATGTGTATTGTGGAGTCACCAGCAGGGAGAGAGCCAAGAAAGTGGAAAAGACCACAAGGGAGTGAGTACAGACACAGGTCCAAGGACGGAGCAAAGGAAGGGAGAAGAGGAGGAAACCCCAGCGGAGGCTAACAGGGAAGAAGTGGGAGAAAAGTCACGGGAATGTAGTGTCCCGAAGGCACTGAAGAAGGGTGTCAAGAAGGAAGGAGCATGGCGGGGCAGGTGACGTGAGGTCTTCGCCTTTGGGTGAGAATCGCAGAGGTAACATCGGTGACTGGCGACATCGGCGATAGCGGTTTCTGAGGAGAGTGGGGGCAAAATCCTGACCTGAGTGGCCTCCACAGGGAGTGAGGAAAGACGACGTGGAAGCAGATAATACCGGCAGCTCTGGAGCGGGCTGTGAAGACGAGCTGAAGGGATGACAGGGCTGGTTTTGGGGGGCTGATGGGGGAGCAACACCGAATAAAGTGGGAAAATTGATTGTAAATATATTTTACTTGTCCAGAAACTAAATAAGGAATAAAGAGGGCTGGACAGTAGCGGGAAAGGTAGTTACAGAAGCGGATGCGAGGCCACACTTGGGGGTGAAGGTCCAGGGCCAGG